ATTTTTTTTTTGTGCATGGATCAATGCTGCTGACTCCTGGACCACATATTCTAACATAGTTTATTCTTGCCAGTATGTCTTTCCTCTCATAATATCACTCTCCCTGACAAGGCTGAGCTTCTCATAAGGCGGTTGAAAGGGTCAATTTCTGGTAAGAGCTGCACAGCAAATCAAAGCAGAGAATGTTAATGTTATGCTTTGGTGGTAGAGTTAGTGTTGGTTAAAGGCCTAAGGTCTCTAGAATTGCCCAGTAAGGTCTATTTTGAGCCCCCTTTTTTGCTGGAGATGAGCTGGGTAAACTGGAGCAGCAATGCCTTGCTCAAGTAGTGGGCACAGAGTCAACTTAATTATAAAATACCTGTTCCTAAATGCAAATGCATACAGGTCCATAGATTTTAGAGGACTTGGTATCTATTAAAGGAGTCCTTTGGTAGAGAATGTGACCTTAGTTATTGATATAATTAGCTGCCTTAATCGTTTATCGTCTTTTTTCAGACAAGAATTATCCTTCATTCATGAGGAAGAGATTATTTGTTTAAGTAAATAAGAGATGTATGCAATAGAAGTTCAGTTGGTAAATGAGTTATACTCACAATAGAAGCTAATGTACAACTTCCACTTTAGTTTTACATCCCCCTTCTCCTAAAAATGGATCATTTGACGTTTCCTGTTTAAATTTTACAGCAATTAAAATTTTAATTTTAAATTACTATTCTAAATAGCTTTTAGTTCCATAAATGTCATAGTTATGAATAGATAGTTCTACTTCTGTACGAAAAGAATTAGTGCCACTTCACGTTCAGTCCCTCTGTTCTTCTATCTCACGTATGAGCTTGCAATCCATAAGCTAACTTTTGTGAATGGTTAAAAAGGAATTGTTTTATCCTGCCTTGGAGGTTAATTTCTGATGTAGCTGCCGGCCAGGAGATGTGATGGTGTAGAAATGGGGCAGGGCGCAGCCAGTGTAGTTCAGGCTTTTAGTGTTACAGAAATACATGTCTTCCCTTGGCTATGGCAGACATGGATGCTTGGCAGAAGAGATGAGGTTTTCCTGTCCTTTGAGCTGTAGATAAACTGGGTTATTCTGCCAAAACCTGAGCCAGTGGTCAGTGCCCGGCTGCATAAGGGGCAATAGAGGCTGTAAGTACAGGACAAGAGAAGAAACCTTATCCTAGGACAAGTGGTAGTGGTACCTAACTATAAGCATTCTTAGGTGGATAGACTTTTCAGCTTTTGTAGTGCAGAGAAAACAGATCTTTAGACTATTCAGCATAAAAATAGGAAATATGTAGACTAGCTGATATGAAATGGGACGCTACTGCAGCATTTTGATTTTATTTGAGGGAACAATATATAAACTTCATTTAAAAAACAATTCAGGGGAAGGCAAGAAAAGCCACTGTCACCTACATACAGATGTTTTCTATTTTTTTTAATATAAATAAGGATCCTTAAATGATGTTTTTTTATTTTTTGGAAGTAGTTATAGGAATCCAAACAATCATGATATATTACAGAAACAGTCCTGTGGTATGTCATGTCATAAACAGGTTACTTTGCCTGAAAATTGTTTGCACAAAAGTTTGTACAAATGAATTCTTGTACTACTTGTAAAAACAAAGGAAAAGTTTGGAATTGACAGAAGCCAAGTGATTTAGAGCTGGTCAAAAAGGTACATTTTCAGGGAAAACATGAGCCAAAGAAAAGTCCCTTTTCTTGCTGAGCAGTTTCAAAACACAGAATCCCTTAACTAGCCCTAATAAAGAAGCCAGTGTCTCCTGCGCATCAGTGTGAGAGCAGTAAAATGAAATAGACTGTCTAAGAATGCAATAAATCATATTGGGTCATTGCACTAATGAACGGTGTGGGTCTAAACTCTCATTAGCTTGTCTGCAGTAAGAGAAAACTAGTAGAATGGGAAAACGACATGTGAGAGGAGCTTTTTGCTAGTACTGTCTTAAGCTTCCATTGTTGAAGGATATCCTTTATCTAATTTCAGACCCATAAAAAAAAATCTATTTGGTGATTAGTAACTGGTGGATAAGAGCAGAAAGCCAAGTGAATAAAGCCATAAATACCAAAGTCCTTGGGATAACAGCCTGTAAAACTGTCAAAAAACATTGCCTAAGTAACGAAAGATAGCTTCTGGTAACAAAAAGTGTCAACTCTGTAGGCAGTAATCCATATTCATATATAGAAGACTTATTTTTAGTTCCTTCTAAAAAGCAAGCCTTTTCTGCTAATAAGGTTCATTGTTTTGTTAAAAGCAGCCGTTTCCCCTGTGCATGCTCTGACCCCAGACTTCTCAAAGCAGAAAAAGCTAAGTTTAATTTCCAGTAGTTAACACTTTTAAAAATTATGTTAGTCTATATTCCTTGGAATCAATTTTCAGATAGGGCAGTCAAAACAAATAATGTAAATGATTTCAAGGTGGCGTTAAGAACCCTTTCTAAAAGGATATAAATGTCTGTGTTTCACTAGGAGCTCTGACAGTGTGACTTTTCAAAGTAATTTTGCTGATGCAGGGTACAATTTCATCAGGAAAGTATAACTTTATATATATTCATATCCTTTCCTTCTTGTGATCCTGTCTTGTAATCAGTTAATGCTGGGAGAAAACTTTTGCGCTGAGGAGATTCACTGGCACTTGTACACCTGATAATATGAATAAGACCAGGCCTTTTTGTGTTTGTCATTTCTAGCAAACTGGTCCGAAATAGAAGTAGTGAAGTTTTAATAGTGAAATATCTTTGCACATGTGCAATTCTTTTTTTATTTTTTATTTTGGGGAGGGGATGTACTAGAGTTTTAGCAGTTCTTTAGGTATTTTAAATCAACTATTAATAGTCTTTTGTTTGTTTTTTTTTTTAATAGTATATCAGAATTTACAATGGATTTTACTTAAGTTACACTCCATATGGAAATTAATGAAGTATCAAGGAAAAATAAAGTTAATGGAAATCCGAAGAAACCAGTTGTCAGCTAGTTATTTTGCTACAAAAAGCAAAGTGACAGATCAACCAGATGTTTAAGAGTAACTTGAAGCAAGAAGACTGAAATTAGTTTCCAGAAAGGTCATGTCTTTACAGTTTGCATCAGCTCTTGTTCTTCTTTATTAGTACAGTCTGTTTTGTGTCACCATACTTATTTTACAGCTAAAAATCTTACTTTTCATATGGTTTTGCAGTAAGTTGCAGTAAGAAAGATTGTTTTTACAGAAATTCTTGCTTTCTTTTTGGAGCAGCGTCAAGTGATGCTGGAGTATCTTTCAGAAAGGTCTGATCCTGTGATCCATTACTGTAAGAATCCCTTTTGGTACTCAGGGGTTTTGTTGGTTGGTTGGCTGAAATCAGCCCTTGCACAGGGTTGATTCACATGTAAGCAAGTTGTCATACTTCTACAGCCAAGCTCAGAGTTGTCTTTTGCGAAGGGGCTTTGGGTTTTTTTGACTGTTAACTGTGAGACCTAGAATTAGTGTTCATTTGAGTAGAGCAGATATTAAATGTTTTTTTTTCCTCAAACATCCTCAGAAAAAGTGAAACGTTCTTTTGCCCAAATAGGTATCTTCCAATTTTGAGAAAAGGTGGTAAAAGGCCATAAATCTGCTGCCTTTTTGAAGGTCAACAATAGATTGATTTATGGAGCCAAGGCAACTTTTGGACTTATGAAGGCTCTGTTTGTGAAGGTGCAAGTTGTCTCTGAGCTTTACAGTAGCGGGATGTTACTGCTGTTACTTTTGATAAGCATTTAGTAGCAGCTTAATCACAAGGGAAATTGTATAGCCAAGGAGAGTCGGGAAATTTCCATTAGCCAGGATGACATGTTACAATAATGCAGTTGTATAAAGTTTAAAGATTAAGCAGATTTTCTTTTTAATATTAGTTTTTAAATCATTACTTCCTACCCCAATTTTCACCATCCATTCTGTGTGGAGAATTTTTCTTATTTATGTTGCCTGTTAGCATTTCCTGTAACCATGTACAAGATTTGTTCTTTGTCTCATATCTATATTTGCATGCGCGTGCATTACCAACACCCACACTTTAAGCCATCGAGCCTAAGAAACCACAAAAAAGTGTATGGAGATAAACGTGCAATATGGCAGCAGGATACAGGAATTCTCAGAATAAGCCTCAAAAAGTATAAGTACAACGAGAAAAAGTACACAGAATTGTATTTCGAAAAAATAGTAGGGCTTTCTCAGTAGTTCTATAGACTTTCATAGAGAAATGTAGACTTTCTGATTAACAGTGAGAAAATAATGTATATAACTGTTTATTAAGTAATGTGAACAAATTTTAACAATTCTGTTTTAAAGATTTTGAAAGCTGTGGGTTCAGAATAATTTCCTTGTATAATAATGCAGTCTTCTCAGTTCAGTTACTCTTGTGTAGGGCCTGAAGATGTACAGAAAGTGTTGCACTGTGGGGAAATCCAGTAGGAGTAGAAAAATATATTTTAAATCCATTCCTTAAGACTTATTTAAGTGAGAAGAAAGAAAAATTTGAGGAAATTTCTGGCATTTAGCTTGGTCTACTCAGGTCTTTCCCTCATCTTAGATTCTACTGAATTAGGATCAGTTAGAAAAAACATTGCACCTACACTAAGACAAGGCCATAGTATAACCTTTGGTCTATTTTATGGTAAACTTATTTAGGCCCACATCTTGTATAGCCTTTCAAACAAGGCATTGGTAGCTTTTTGTGTAGCATATTGACTTTAATAAAGTGCTGTATGTGACATGTAGTGGCGTATGTATATATTGTGGGCTCTGCAATTTGTCTGCTTTTTGGCTCGCCG